CTATCAGAATCCTTCGACAATGCTCTCTCTCGAATCCCTCGGTCCAGGCGGACGCTCTTACCTGCCTCGAATACACAAAGCTTAGGAACCCGGGCAAAGGTGCGACGAGCGTCGCGCGCCGCACGCAGGACAAAGAAGAGAAAGTAGAGGCGAGATCGCAGTAGGAAGGGCGAGAGGGAAGGCATTGGATGTCGCACAGAACAGATTAATGGTCGCAGGCGATCTTTGGTAGAGTCGGTTGCGTCCGAGACCAGACCGGCCGGCCCTCGATTTCGGAAAATGACGGCCATCTACGTGATGTGAGACAAGAAGCACCGCGTTATACACCACCCACGTCCGGAAAAAATCTTTGGAACTTTGCACGAAAATCCTCCCACTATCCTCCCCGTCAAAGTGCCAGGGCGGAGCAGAAAGGGCCTCTTGGGCCGTACAAAGTCTCACTCTGCGAGAGAGAGAGAGAGAGAGAGAGAGAGAGAGAGAGAGAGAGAGAGAGAGAGAGAGAGAGAGAGCTCGGACAAACAGACGCGCGCCGCGCGGTGTCGCGAGTTTTTTCTTTCTTTTTTTATCTATCGACAGGACGGCCCCCGGGAGTCACTAATTGCCGTCGGAGATCGCGAGGCGATTTGTAGCGAGAACACGAAGGGAAATCAGCGGGGGAACGCCGGTGGAGTTCGACGAACTCTACCGGCGATCGAGAAGTAGAATGTTATTATGGTAACGGGTTCTAGGTTGTATAGCGCGATTCCGATTCTGAAAAACGCTCGCGATCGTACACTTGCCTGTGTACGTGAGTGCGTGTGTGTATGTGTGTGTTACCTCTCTTGATGCCGAGTCATTCTATTTTCGACGCTGACATGCTCGTGGTAGACACATTCGTGTAGAGAGACGAGCGTTAAATATATTTTAACTTCATCGGCGAGAGATGCTCTCTCCTCCCGCCGTCCTTTAGCTCCTGGCTGGCATAAACTCTGGACGAACTTTGTTATCGTGCGATATTCGCAAAGAGAGAGAGAGAGAGAGAGAGAGAGAGAGGGAGGGGGGATCTTTAGATAAATAATCGTACTTTTCCTCTGTTTGAAAAGATTTCGTAAAAACTATCCGTGGATGAACTTTCCATTCAAATGAAGAAACCGAGACGCGTTGCAGCAATCGCTGGTACTCGCGGCGATGTCTCAGGTCGACACGACCGTTATCACCGTCGAATCGTTTCTGATCACTCCGGAGCTTTCAAAGCTTTCAGGATTTTTAGGGACTTTGAAGAGATGAGCATGTGTGTCATTCGTTGAACGCGTAAAAATGTTAATTCGTCGCGTGTAAAGCGCGACGTCGACTGCGAAAAATTATCATTAGGTATCGTCCGTTAAACGACGCTTGTGGAATTTCCTAGCTTAATTGGAGGTTATTTCATAGCCCGTCCCCTTCTCCTCCTTGCAGTCGGACAATATTTCTTGTCTCTGTACCTGAGGCATTTACCTGAGTTTCTACTTGATTAGACTTTAAGATGCCCCAACACTTAGGTGTTCGTGTCAGGACTCATGAAGATCAGCTTCGTGCAGTTTCATCAGTCTTTTACCGATTAGTTATATGTGATAGTATTCTCGAAAATTTTTATCGGACAAGGGAAAAAAAATGACGTCGCGCAACAGCTCTCGAGAAAGCTGTTGTGACGTTTCGCAGTCGAAACTTCACGCCGCGTCTTGTCGTTTTGCCCGCGATAATTGGGCATCATCGATAATGGCCGGTCAAAGTTGAACGATCAGCGTCGAAGTGCGCGAGTGAACGAAGCGTGATCGAATAGTGGACGCGAGTGACGTTGGAACTGCGCTTTCCTTTCTTGTTTTTTTTTTTTTTTTTTTTTTTCGAAACTGCGGATCTACACCCCCTTTCGCCTCTCTTCTCTACAATTGTCCGCCTTTCCCGTTCTTTCTCCACTCGCCTTAATCCGCTGTTCGCCGGACGGCGATTCGCAGGATGACTGTTCCCTTAGCCGAGTGCGAGGACGGCTCCCGCGACGCGAGAAGTCGATTACCTTTTAATCCGAAATTACTACGTCGTTAATCCAGTTAGCGAGTCACCGCGCGGTCCTTCGCTCGCGAATGCGTCGCGCGCTGAACGAATATCGCGGACACGAGACTTATGAGGACGTTCCCTGACTGCTGCTTGGACATCGCACCCGTCGCCGCCGCCGCCGCGGCCGCGATATCGTGGCCGTTAATTAATTGAAAATAATTTCGAATGTGCGCGCATGCACGACCTACCGCAAAACGAAGCGGATCGCGCGCACGCGCGCGAACTTTGACTTTGTTTCGGCAGATCGGAGATAGGAGGTATTGCGCGCACGCATATATCACGCATGTATCAAGTATGTTTGTTAGCGAGTTCGTTTGTTAACGTCTCGCAACTCTCGGAACATGGCGATGCTTTTCTTGCGCCACCGTGCGCGCTGCACGATTTTTGGTCTGTTCGCGTGGACGCGCCAGAGTTCTCTCTCTCTCTCTCTCTCTCTCTCTCTCTCTCTCTCTCTCTCCTTCTCTGATCGAGCGTACGGATGGAAAATCAAGCTCAGCAGCCGGTAAACGAATTGAGAATAAATAGATGAATAATAGGCAATATTTGAGTCCGTACAAGAGTGGACCAATTACTGGACATTTTTTCATCCCATTTCGTCATTAAAGATGCGCAGTAAGAGACATTTTCGCGTTCGTTTCTCGCGATCGAAAGGGCGGAGTTTATGGTAATTCCGTCGTTATCGCACGGCCGGAATTTAGCGCGCTATGTTTCCTAAAGCCGCGTGCGTCTCCGCTGTATATATGCCGGCGCGGTAGATCAATATTCTAGTCTCTCGATAGAATTTCAACGCGCGCGCGACTTTGGACCGCGAGAAATACTTAATTCGAACGTGTGTGAGTAGCTATCGTGGTCTCGCGCGTATCGAAGAATGATTTGTTTGTTTTACATTATCGCGAATACGCACGCATAAAGCGATATCGCCCGCGTGCGATTCTGTTATTCGCGGGGCGCTGCTGCCGCGCCGAAAAGAAATCGAAATTGCGCGCCGCTGCGGAAATCGACTCGCGTTCTTCGGAGAGAAACGATCTTCCGGTTCTTGCGGATGACGCGGCTTGTCAGCAGCGACGAGAATCTTCGCAGTATCGGGGAAATATCCGGTGCTTACCGGTAAAATGCGATTTTCCTAGCGCAAATCGGCGGATTTCCAGCCGATCCATTTCAAATACGTCTCGCCGCGTGTCATCGCCAAGAGAGTTTTCGCCTCGTTTTGGGCCTTGACCATTTTTGTAAAATTATTTCACGGCAGTGTTCTCCGTCTTGAGCTAAATACAACGAATCAACAGCGATGTATCCAACATCGTTGTTAAACGGAAATAATTATTATTCATCGCTTGCGCCTTGGCTGCTCCGGCCGACAAGAAAATCGATGTGCGCAAGAGCGCAGGGGGGAGGAGAAGCCCTCTGGGGCGGCGATGGTTTGGCGTTTCCTTCGGATTTCCAGCATTTTTCATTGTACTCCGAGATCGTCGAGCGTGCGAACGCGCTAAATATAGAATTGTGCAAATGTACGGTGAATCACCGAGGTACTATCGAGGTATCTCCTAGTGGCCATGTGTGTGTGTGTGTGTGCGCGCGCGCGTGTTTACGCGCGTTGGTCGATTGGTCAATTCGGCACGTCGGTGCATGTCAAGACGACGAAGGGTCATTCTTCTTCCTCACGCGCCGTACAAATACGTTCAACTTGACCCCGATTACGATGAATCGGATTTCCGGGCTACGGTGATCCTAGCGGACACCCTCGAATCAATCCTTGCGCGAGGTAGAAGAGGAGCCGGGAAGGGAGGGTGGGAGAGCGGAGACGGTGGAGGAGGAAGAGGTGAAGGGGGAGAAGATGGAGGGGTGAGCGATTCGAATCACACGGAAAGTGAAACTTCGGATCCCCCGCCGACTTTGCTCGTAGACACGGCTTCCTCCTTCGCGAGCAATAATTTACCAAACAGAATCGGATACCGGCGTTTCCGGATCTCGTTACGCGGCCGCATCTCGGCCGCGAGTACGTACGTTCGAATTTCCCAAACACGATCGCGCTTAATGCGCAACTCGCGACATCCGCTTGTGCGACTTTTCTCTCTCTCTCTCTCCCTCCCTCTCCCTCCCCCCTCCCTCCCTCTCTACGTCTGTGTTCCTGATAGATTACGAAAGAAAAATGATACTTCCGTACGATGCGTCAGTCCACATTGATCGACTGAAAATCAAAACGAGACGGAGAAAATCGCGCGCGTCTCGCCAACGATTAACGTCATTGATGCGCGATGAAAGGGCTTGACGCCACGCACTCTCCGGCCCGCGGAAGGGACGAAGAGGGAAAGATGAAAACACCCGGAGAAGGTCGCGCGATTTCACCTCGAATCCACATCGGACTCGCTCCTTCGCACTCATTCCGCGCGCAAGCACAAGCTCGCACCTAAAGCCCGTTCTACATTAGTCGCAAGACGCAGAACGCAAGTCGCAAGTCGTAGGAATTCACCAATCACAGTCGAATATTCTCTTAACATTCGACTGTTAAGAATGCAGCACCGCGCCGGTAACATTTGCTACGTATCTCTCGGTGTTTCTCGCAACCCCCGCGAAGCTCCTCTCTCTCTCTCTCTCTCTCTCTCTCTCTCTGGTCCCGAAAGAGTTCGCCGGGTATAACACGTGAGATTAGGAGCGCGTCCGTTGCGTGGACGCCGGGCGTCAGAGGCGCTCACGTGGCACCCCTCCAGCTCCTCTCTTCATTCTCGCGGGCATCGCGCGTGAGGTTCCCTCACACACCGCCTGTGATCCCCGCCTGACGTCCCAACGAGGCCTTCTCCGCGCCGACCTCACAATCTTCTCCCGCCCCACTCGTCCGCCGCTCGGCGCTCGGCCGCGCGTTGCTCCCCCTCCCCCCCGCCCCAGCGTTCTCCTCTCAGCGTCCTCGAGCGAGGCGACAGCAGCGCCTTCGCGTGCGGCGTCCGCAGTAACGCGAGCGCTTCCGTAGAGAGTGGTACCGTGTCCCGTGCGGCTCTCGTCGTGTTTGTGGCTTCGTGTGTGACGACGCGCAGCGCGCGGTGCCAACGCGCGCGCGCTCTCTCTTCTCCTCCACGCGCGCCGGCCACGCGTCGTCCGTTTCGTCGCCGAGCGCGCCGTGTGTTTGGGATACGTCGCAACAACGCAAAGAGCGGCAGAGTGTGCGCCGAAAGTGTGAGAACGCGCGCGTCCTTCTCACGCGGCGAGACGACGGGAGTGTGGGGGGCTATAGTGATACCGCAGCTTGCATAGTTGCTTTACACGAACGCGCGCGCGACGTCTTCGCGGCACTCCGCCTCCGCCAGAGAGAAGGAGTTGTGAGTCGCGAGATCTCTCGCGGTGGTGCTCAACGACAAGTAAAAGAACGCGCCGACGAACGAGTCAGCTGGGGGGGGGCTACGGCGTGTCTGATACATTACACACGCAAACATCACACATGTACACGCGCATTACGTGTATATAATACAGGTGTATATATATATATATACACACACACACACACACACACACACACACACACACACACACACACACACACACACACAGCGAAGTGCGTGGTGAGGATAGAGATCGACGGCGTATCTCGCTGCAGATTCGTAATCACCGAGAGCGCGCATCGCGCGGGAAGAATGCCGACTCGTGTCGTCGTCACACAGACGATCGGCCAGCAGCGACGGCGTGCTCGTGTCGGCTTGGTTTTCGGGTCGCCGAGTGGCGACTGAGAGGGGCAGAAGGGCGGCTGCGTGTGTGTAGAACTAAGGGATGCGGGGATCCCGTTAGGGAGAAAGAGTGAGAGAGACAGAGAGAGAGAGAGAGAGAGAGAGAGAGAGACAGCCGGGCGGCACGTTGTTTAGAATAGTGTGACATTGCTACGCGGCGATCCGCGCGGCGTAGGTGTGTGACTCAACGTCTCACGACTTGTGCTGTGCGCGGGCAGAAAGGGGAAAGGAAAAGGAACGAAAGAAAGACGCGCTATTGGATCGGCGGGGATGGCCGAATGGCGACAACGGCAAACGCTCATCCACGACGTATAGATGCTGCACTTAGACGCGACACCGACGACGTGACGGCCACGTGCCCGCAGCGGACGCTCCGTCGTCGTCGCCGTTGGCCAGTGGCAACTTTAACTCTCCCTCTTTTTTTGCCGGGCGATTGCGTGCCTAGCATGTCGTAATCGCGCGGCGAGCGGAACACGCGAGAACGGTGCTGTGTACTCGTCGTCTATATTCGTGCATACGCACGTCACGGCGGAAAGGTAAACAGCGTGCGCGCGCGCGCGCGCGCGCGGAGACGCGTGTCGAGTTGGGAGAGAGAAGGAGCGGCGGCCCGAATTCACACCGCGCGCGAGCAGGCAGTGTGTGTGTGTGTGTGTGTGTGTGTGTATGTGTGTGTGTGTGGGTGCGTGTTCGCGCGCGTGCGTTTACACGTGTATGTGTGCCTGGTGTCGTCGTCACGCGTGAGTGTACATGTGTGCGACCTGACGTCCGCTCGCGCGCGCGCGCGCGAGTCGGCGCGAAGGAGGAAGATTCGTCGGCCGAAAGAGATATATCGACGGATCGCAATCGCTTTTGGCCAGCTTCTGTGCGCTGGAGATTGCGATACCGCGCGCGCGACGTGTGGTGATCACGCGAGAGACGAAAGAGAGAGAACCGCTTCTCTCTCTCTCTCTCTCTCTCTCTCTCTCTCTCTCTCTCTCTGTCTGTATCTGTCTCTGTCCCTCTTCCTCTTCCTTTCTCTCTCTCTCTCTCTCTCTCTCTCTCTCTCTCCACGGAAAAGTTCTCCTCGCGAGTCAGGACGCGAACAGGTGGCCGTTTCTCGGCGCGTAGGACGAATATAACACGCGTGTGTGTGTGTGTGTGTGTGTATGTGTGTGTGTGTGTGACATCTTCGTACGTGTGACTGATAATCACGATCTCTCGCCGGTATTCGGCTCGCGCGAATTCCCTACGAGGTGGCGGCGGAGGAGTGGCCGCGCGAGGGTGGCCGCGCGTAACGCGATAAGAAAGTCCGTAACGTCCGCTACGATACCCCTTCCGTCCGATGTGCTGCACGCAGGGCTAACAAGTGGATTTCCTCGTTTTTACGCCGGAGGATACGCTCGTTGTCTACGCAGTGCGTAGTGATACATAACGTCCCTATTATACGGAGGAATCGGGGAAACGGGATATTTTGTGAGCGAGCGAGCGAGAGAGAGAGAGAGAGAGAGAGAGAGAGAGAGAGAGAGAGAGAGAGAGAGAGAGAGATTGCCGCCGATCTTTCGACCGGCCGACCCTGAGAAAATTTCCAGTCTTTCAGCCGTTTGCTGCGAACGCTCTCGAGGAGACTCGATTAAATTGGCGCGTTTTTGAGAAGACGCTCAGACAGGACGAGAGAGGATTGTGAGAGAGCGGATAGAACGGCAGTGGTTCTCGACACTTTTTACGGCCGAGAGAGAAAAGGATCGCGCTGTCCCAAGTTTCAGAGGATACAACCACGGAGGAGTGCGCGCGCGCGCGCGCGCGCGCGCGAGAGATAGAGAGAGGGAGAGAGAGAGAGAAACGGGAAGAAAGTAGTAGACATCCGATACACGCAACGCCAAAAGGGGAGGGTGAAAAGAGGAAAGAAGAGATTATCGGCGAGTGAGAAAGAAAAAGAGAGAAGAGAGGGAGAGAGGGTGAGCGCGAGTGAGATCGTGAAAGAAGAAACGAGCAAGAGAGAAAGAAAGACGGAGAAGAGGAACGCGCTTAGTCGACTACTCTAGTCCAAACCTCGGCGAGAGTTCGAGGCGAGAGGGTGAAGATCGTCGTGGAGGGGGGAGTGATGCCGGCCGTGAGCGTGGCACAGCGCCCTCCAGGTGGAATCCCACTCCACACCGGCGTGCCGGTAGCACCCAGCAGCGTAACCGCCCCCGGTCCGTCGGGCCGGTGCCTCGGGGGCCCGGCAGCACCCCCCGCCGGCTCGCCACCGCTGCCGCCGTCTTTGCAATCCCTCGGTGGCGGTGTTGCGAACAGCACCGCCAGCAACAACATCGGCGTCAACCCCAACATCGGCGGCGGCCACGGCCACGGCCACGGCCACGGCCACGGCCACAGCCACAGCCACAGCCACAGCCACGGCCACAGCCACAGCAACAGCAATAGCAACAGCAACAGCAGCGGTAGCAGCAGCAGCAGCAGCAGCAGCAGCAGCAGCAGCGGCAGCAGCAACGTCGCCAACAACCACCACCATCTCGGCAACAACGCCCTAGGTATCAACACAGCGAGCGGCGCCACGAATCCCCTGCAGGCGATGGCATCGGCGGCGGCCTCGCTCACGCAGCTCAACAACATGGCAAACGGCCCGTTGCCGCCGCTCGCGGCCACGGGCCCCACCGGGCCGCCGAGCTTACCGCCGCCGCAGCCAGCCACGACGCCGACGCACGGCGGCCCGCCTACCCCGCACGGTGGTGTTAGCGCGGCACCCCATCTGAACGGCGCGTCGCCGAGTCCTCATCCGATGCCGCCTCACGGCATGATGAGCGGTTCTCCCCACACTCCTCACCCGCACATGGGTGGTGGCGGGCCCTCGCCTCATCCCCATCACCCAGGACCTCACATGGTCGGCTCGCCGCACCATCCAGCGCCCCATCCGATGGGCCCGGCCGGTATGATGGGGCCGGCCGGTATGCAGCCTCAAGGTGGACCCGGCATGTGCGGGCCTGGACCCGCTGGCCCGATGGGGCCGCACGCGCACCCTCAGGGACCAGGGGTACCTGGACAGCCGCATATGCAGCCGCACGATCCGTTCTATTGCTCGCCCTTCGGATCGCCTTACTTCAGGTAAATAGACAGATTTCGTTGTACGAGAGAAGCGGCGCGCGCGCGGCGAGTCGCTTCCCCGTCGCAGACAGCTTCCCCCGCGACAGACGATGAGAGAGAATCATCCCGTCGTGACGAATAAGCCTTGAAGCCGTCAGATGCCGTTTGCGCTGCTTTTCCGCGCACTTTATCTTTCGCAGCGTGCAATTAACATCGCCACTCTGGGAAAAAGAAACAAATATACTCCCCTGATACACTGCCTTGATACACCGCCTCGATCTTGTTCTCGCGTCTCGCATGAGACGCGCGCGCGCAGGCTTTTTGAGACGACCTGTGTAAAACGCGCGACACAAACGACACCAACCTGTCGTTATGCGCACGTTATCGGCCGTAACAATTGGCCGTCACGCGAAACAACACTCGCACGTGCGTCTCGTGAATCGGGGCGAAACTTTGTGCGAAGACGTATGCAAACTTTTTTTCTCGCGTCTGCTGCGCGCGCGCGGCAGGAGAAGGAGCGAGAAGGAGGAGTAGGCGGAGGAAGAGGAAGAAGACGGTTGGCGCGCGCGCGCGCGGGGTGTCACGCGAGGTTTTACGAAAAACCGTATCGCGTGGTTGAGGGAATCTTCCGAGCCGAACCTCGACTCCGTTGCCGTTATTTTCCGTGTAATTCGCTGCTGCTTCGTGCGCTTAACAATCGCGCGACGTGAACGATGTTGCGAGCGACGATTAATCGCCATCGCCGAGAGATATTTCGGTGCGACGTCGATCTCTCCCTCCCTTCCTTTCTCTTCAAGCGCGAGACGCGAGAGAGAAGAGAGAGAGGGGGGGAGAGAGAGAGAGAGAGAGAGAGAGCGAGAGAGAGAGAGAGAGAGAGAGAGAGAAATATGAGTATCTTGAACGAAATTAAATTAGGATTATACGCGGCTCGTTGTTCGAGATCGGTTCGATGTTATTCCGTGACTCGCGATCACAGTCCGACGAGCTTTTTTCCTACGGCGGATATTTTTAGACAATTGTTTTACGGCTCGATACTCTCTTCGTTCCGTGCCAATCGGCCGGTAGTCGCTCACTAGCACGCTCTCTCAGGCGTAGTAACAGTATACTCGGAGAATCCGTTATCGTAGCTCGACCAGGATCTTCCTGGTCACCGTTGCCGCGCTCGCGCGCTGGCCTGGCGACGACGCGTCGTTGAGAACACAATGTGTGGCGGGTAGCACCCTGAAAATTTCGCCGAGACAATTTTCCTCTCGCGCTCTCACGATTGGCTCACTTTGCCAATCGCGCGCGTCGTTGATTAATTTCGAGCGCGCGGTTGCCAAGCGGCCGGGTTTATAATAGCCGTTAAACGGAACGATCAGAATCGGCCGATGGGTCTGCCAAAAATTGGGGCGCGCTCACGCTCGCTCGTTCAAGCTGCTGGCCTCCTCCCCTCCCCCCCCCACGCGCACGCACGAGGAAGAATCCTCGGAAGGAGCGGAGAATGGCGGAGGAGGATGGTCGTGCGCGCGCGAAATCTCGTCTTTTTGTGCCGAAACTGTCCGCGGATTGAAGGAGATCGTTATCTCGGCCGCGCGTCAAGTACGGTACGTACGTTCGCGGTCAGGTCAGGTGCGTCGAAAGTGTGTTGTTTTGTCGTCATCGTCGTCGTCGTCGTCTTCGCGCGATATCTCGGTGTCTCTCAGGTGGCTCGCAGGTGGGAGGCGCGCCCATGGCGCGCGCAGGTGTGCATATGCACGCACGTACCTACGCGAGGCGTGCGACTTCTTTCTCTTTTGGACGGGGCGCAACTTCCAACTCGCGCAGGGAAAGGAACTGCCACGGGGTTAAGAGCCCGTCCGTCGATAGTCGCCTACGGCATACGTTATACGCGCAGCACGATGCGGCGATTATCCGGTCCTTCTTGTCCGCGGCCTTCTTCGCATCCGGTCTGGACGTCTCTATCGCCTCGACGTCATCTCTCCGCTCGCTAATCGCGCGGGCTCATTAACATAAGCGTTCCACCCTGCTACATTCGCATCACGAGTGACGCGCTGCTACTTCTCGGTGCTTGCGCTCGCAACTTCTCTCTTCAACGTACCCTTCTCCAACGTCGTACCTCGACTTGACTCGCGCGCGCGCGCGAGCGAGCTTCTTTCTGGAAGAATTTGCTTACATCCGCGCGAGTCGAGCTACAGCTAATATCATCTAGCGAGATTACGGCTACGACGCGCACGTGCTGGCAGATAAGAAAGATAGTCCGCGTTTGTGTACTGTCGAGAGTCGAGTCCCGCTCGGGTTAGCTCACGCGACACTTGACTGAGTTTCCTTTAGCGTAACTCCGTAACAGAACGGAAAACCCGGTGTGTCGTCACCGAGACGCGATGGCGCTGGGACGATGGGAAGACGGTGTATTTCGCCCTCCCTCCCTCCCTCCCTTCCCGTGAGTTTTCCGTTCGCCGCCAGATTTTTTATGCCTGTCCACCCGCGAATTGCGCGGCGCGAGTTCCGCGATCTTCGAGCAGGAACGATCGAAATCTCGCGATCGATACACGCGAGACGCCGGTGACGGTCGCGAGACACGATTCTCTGCGGCGTACGAGACGACAGTTACACACGCACGTATCGCTGTTATATAAAGCCGATCGCTCTTGCGAATAATGTTTCATTATTTCCTACATAAAGATAAGATCCCGTTTGTCCTTCCGGAGCGAAGCGCGCGCGCGCGCGCGCGCGGTTTCGATAGATTGCGCGCAACCTTGATGCTCCCGTTCTGAAATTCCTCGGCGGTACCGAGAGGCGCGTTACATCATTCGTACATTCGCATCGGCTACGCGCCGAGATTACGCTCTCGCGAGAGTTGTTACAAATTCGCACGGTAAAAACGAAAAAGGCCAGAAAAATGAAGCGCGCACACGCGGCGTTATCGCGAGTCGAGCGATGACGCGTCGGATAAAACGCTGCAGAGCGGCCTAACCGGCCTGACCGCGCGCGCGCGCGCGCGCGCGCTCTACCATCTTCCATCCCGCCTCCCTCTCCGTCACTCTCCTCTCTCCCTCTCGAAATTCGTAATCGCTGCAAAACGTTACGAGCACGTGTACAAACATATTCTACGACAGCGAAGGTAACAGACCAGGCACGACGAGTCGTGACAGCGTCGCGCGCGCGTTCGTGTCGCATTAATATCGTCGTAAAACAAAAAAAAAGCTATATTTATCACACCGGATTCACGTGCACGCTCGCGCACTACGCACGACGACACGAAACGAAAAAGAAGAAGTATCAGCGGGAGAGGAGAAAAATCGTAGAACGCGGGCGCGAAATCGCGCGAAATGAATTGTACGCTCTCGTGAATAGCGTGAGTAATACCAGAGCGAGGCGCGCTCAAAGCACGATCGGAAGTACCGAGCGCCGTCGGTGAGCTTATCTTATCGCGGCCTCTCGGTAGGATAAGAAGGACCTTGATCGCCTCGCGACAAAGCGAATCGGCACCTAGCGCTCGCGCTCGCGCTCGCGAGGAGTCTCGTAACGTCGATTTTCTGCACTGAGCACCCAAGAGAGGAGGAAAGTACATTTCTCTCTCTCTCTCTCTCTCTCTCTCTCTCTCCCTCTCTCTCGCTCGCTCGCTCGCTCGCAAAGTTTACTGCGCGCGAGGTTGAAGAGGATGGAGGTTCTCGCGATGTTCGCGCTCGTACTCGCGAGGGAGGGTCTCTCTTTCTCCGGTCTCCCTTTGAAATTTAAATCGAGACGTAATTACGGAGTGATTTAATATTAAAGATTGAGTAACAGCAGGTCCCGTATATACCTCGCACTTAAATTCACAAGAGCGGAGCGAGCGTGCTCTCTCGCTACAATGAAATCGCGTAATTTGTATCTTTACAATAGCCAAAGGTATTTAATCTCCGGCCTGTGAGTAAACGCAGAGGAGAGCGACATCCGATCGAATTTTTATCGAGTCGGGTCGATCGCGAACGTATGCATACGCTAATTAGCGCGTCTCTCGGAGAAAACGGTTCGCAGTTGATTTTGTCCACAAGAGGAAAAACGTCTGGCTCATAAGAGAACCGAAAATTCGTTCTCCTACAATCATCACGCGTTTTTTGCTTCGTTCATCGTCGCGTTAATTTGACCGAACCTTTTTCTAGATTCGCAGCCAGTACAGACTTTTGTTATAAATTAGTATCTCTCTCTCTCTCTCTCTCTCTCTCTCCCCCTCCCTCCCCCTTTGTCTCTTGGAATGGCCGAGATTACACGCTGTTTGGCGCCGCGACTATCTGTGCGGTTTAAGTATCTCTCTCTCTCCGCAATTAAACGAGCGGCATTAACGGCCGTACTCTTCGATGCGAGGAAATTCCACTTGTTTTGGCGACACGGTCGCGAAACTCCAGTTTCACGCGAGACACCGCGTGCGGTCGTCTTCCCAGCGGCGGCTTTCCGCCGACGTGAGTCCGCCAGAGCGGGACTAGCGTGTGGTGCGGTGTTTCTATATAGGCGCGCGCAACGTCAAGTGCACGCAACGCGAACGCTGCACGACCGGCGAATGCACATGCGAATTTGCGCGCGCGCGCGGAGCCGTTTCCCCCCCTGTCGCCAGTTAAAAGTCGAGTAATTGCCGTTGGTTAGAGGTGCGAATTTATCGCGGTTTGCTGGATTAATTCGTCACGGTGTTCAATCATTCGAAAAATTCCTTTCATTCTTGCGGAAATGACTGTAGTACAGTAGCACCTTTGTGTATGTGCGTGTGTGCGTGCGATAACTCTCTAGAGGCGCGATATTAAAACGTTTTTCAGCGCGACGAAATTACGCGCGAATTCTCCACCACCAAAGAGAACGACTCCGCGCGGCGAAATTCCACCTCGTCGTTTTTTGTATCGCGCGGAAGCCTCGATGTGTCGGAGCGCAAGTCAAGCGCAAGAAGCGTGACAATGTCCGCAGTTATCGCATTTACGTATTAGAACCCGTCACGGCGCGACGGAGTGTTTTCCTCGCGTCGAATACGTGATTCGTCGAGCGACGATGTCGCGCTAGGCGCGCGAAAAAGC